CTGCCCTGCTAGGCTGGTGAAGTCCTCCTGGATAATATCCTGAAGAGCATTTTCCAGCTTGGATTCATTTTCCCTGTCATATTCAGGTACACATATCAAATGTAGATTAGGTCTTTCCACATAATCCCATATTTCTTGGAGGCTTTTTTCATTTCTTTTCACTTTTCTTTAATCTTGCCTTCTCATTTTATTTCATTGAGTTGATCTTCAATCTCTGATATCTTTTCTTCTGCTTGATCAATTCAGTTATTGACATTTGTGTATGCTTCGTGAAGTTCTTGTGCTATGTTTTTCAGCTCCATCAAGTCATTTACGTACTTCTCTAAGTTGGTTATTCTAGTTGGCATTTCATCTAACCTTTTTTCAAGGTTTTTAGTTTGTTTGCATTGGGTTAGAACATGTTCCTTTAGCTTGGAGAAGTTCGTTATACCCACCGTCTGAAGCCTGCTTCTGTGAATTGGTCAAACTCATACTCTATCCTGTTTTGTTCTCTTGCTGGTGAGGAGTTGTGATCCCTCGGAGGAGGAGAGACAGCCTGGTCTTTGATGATTGCATCCTTTTGTGCTGGTTTCATCCCATCTTTGTGGATTTATCTACCTTTGATCTTTGAAGTTGGTGATTCGAGATGGGGTGTCTGAGTGGACCTCCTTTCTGTTGATGTTGAAGCTATTTCTTTTTGTTTTTTAGTTTTCTTTCTAATAAGCCCCTCTGCTGTAGGACTGCTGGAGGTCCACTCCAGACCTTTCTTGCCTGGGAATCACCCATGCGGGCTGCAGCACAGCAAGTATTGCTGCCTGATCTTTTCTCTGGTAGCTTTGTCCCAGAAGGGTACCCACCAGTTGTCAGCCAGACCTCTCTTTTATGTGGTGTCTTTTTGGTTATGCAGGGGTCAGGAGGTCGCTTCACAAGGCAGTCTGTCCCTTGTTTGCCTGCAGGGGCGCTCCTGGGCTGCCATGGGCTCAGTCCAGCTGTTGTGTAAGCTTCCTCTGGGTTTTGTTTACACAGGTAAGATCAGCTATGGCGAAGCCTTTCCCCCCACCAAGCTGGATCTTCCTGGGTTGAGCTCAAACTGATGTGCTAGCTGCGAATCTCTTAAGCGAGAGGGCCCCAGTTTGCTGGTCTTTGTGAGGGTGGGTCCTGCCAAGCCATATTACGTGTCTCCCTGCTTTCAACTCCCCAGCTTTCTAGGGAGTGGGGAGTTCTGTCCCACAGGCACTGTCAGCACTGGTTTAAAACGTCCACCTAAATCTCTGCCAACCCATGGCAGCAGCCAGAGCTACCGCTCCGATCTGGTAGAAACTCGAGGCACTTTTCAGCCCGGTGGGGATCTCCTTATCTGTGGGTTGCAGAGGCAATGGGAGAAATGCAGTATCTGAACCGGAGTACCAGAGGGGAAGAGTCCTGGATCCTCTGTCCAACTGCACTTCCCGGTGGGGCAGCACCCCGCCCTGCCTTGGTTTGCCCTTCCTGGACTATGCCCACTGTCCAACCAGTCCCTTTGAAATGAACCTGGTACCTTGGTTGGAAATGCCGAGATCACTCTCCTTCTGCATCACTCTTTCTGGGATCTGCACTCCAGAGCTGTTCCTATTCGGCCATCGTGGCAGAAATCCTGTGTTTTTGTAATGATATTATGATTTTTATTTCTTGTACTTCAATAATAATGCCCCCAGAGGCCTCTGATAATGATTTTAAAGTGAGGGGTTGCTATCCATTAGTGTTGGCAAAAACATTCTAGTAGGCAAAGAGCAAGGAATTTTGTCTGTTTGTTTTCAAGTGATAGAAAGTAGCAGGGTCTGCTATACATAGTGAAGGTATTTTATGAAATGTAGGGGTGTGTACGTGTCTTCACTGAGTCCAGATCATTTCTTATTGTGGGTTACCTTTAGAGAAAGTTTGAAATCTAGTGTTCTTTAAATATTTCAGTATTGTTTTTATTTCATCAACTTTAGTGTCTTTTCTGGGGTAAGGTGGTAATGTAAATGGTTAGCTTAAATGAGAGTTGAATTTAAATAACTAGCCAAAATTAGAGGTTAGGAGTTAGGAACTAATAATACAGTGAGGGAGTGGGATAGTTCTGAGAACCCACCACTTGGGTTATTTTGTCAGAGAGTAAATGCATCATTTAGTTCATCATAAGAGTGAAATCAGGTGTGAGATTTAGCACCACTTACCCCATTGTTGCTATAGCTTTGAGTTAAAACATATTGTACCAATAAAATTGATTGGTTTATGCTCATTTAATTAAAATGCCAAAGCACATTATAAAACAGTAAATATTCTTATTTATAAGTTTATTAAGCCATTGCCTGGCATTACATATTTTAAATATCAGCATATTCCTGGCTCATACTCAGTAATATCTTCATTAAAGTAAAAAGGTTGTTCATTTGAAAGAAATACGCAGTTTAAATTATATCATTGCTTTCTAAAGCAGAAATATTAGTTATCCTTTTGAATTGTTTTCAGTGAAACTAAATTTTTGTGTCCCTTTTTAAGTTTTTAATATAATGTGAGACATTTATTTCAAAAATGATGTGAGGGTCATGTTTATTTTGTAGTATTCTCAATTTTCTTTTCAGGGTTAGAATTTTAGTGCGCATATGTTATGGTCATTCTACATAATTTAGAAAACTAAAGCAAAGGGCAGTATGTTTTATAACAATGACTTTGTTAAAATATAGCTGCTGTTAAAATGGAATTGTTAGTAGAGACAGCTTTTAATGATTTAATCAAATTCTAGATTATTTTGATAATAATCCAAAGGACCATCAAAATATTTTTCCCAAGTAATTTTTTTAAGTAATGTCTACTTTCCTTTCCATTGAAACTCGGTTTAGGTGAAAAATTGTACACTGTTCTTTTAAAATTACCTTTTCTAAGGTGGCTGAAAAATATAAACACTGGTAGGTGATAAATAACTTAAAATTTTCTATAAATTTTTACCTATTTTTGCATGTAGAATTGCATTTAGAATTGTTTGAAAAATCAGTCATGTATTAGGCTTAACCTTGATTACAAAATTGGGCAGTTAACACAGGGTAAAACAAAACTGTAGATCACTTATAAGAACAGATACAGAAATCCTAAAAAAAAAAAAAAGGATTTTAAAAAGGGAAAATTAGGCAGCTTATCAAAAAATAATGTAATAATTCTCAAATAGGATTTATTGCATTAATACAGGGACATTTCAACAGTAGAAAACCGATTACTGTAATTTTACTACACTAGCAGGTTAGAAAACAAAATCATATAAAAATCATCTCAGTAGATGCTGAAAATTGGGTGAAACTTAACACTAACTTTTAAAACGTGTGATTCAAGAAACAGAAGGTTAAGTTCTTAATACAGTATGTGTACACACCTGAAACTTATGGTAGGCTTTATACATAATGATGAAACATTGGAAGCATTATCGTTAAAGTTAGAAACAAGACAGAGGGATTTGCTGCCATTGCCATTGTTTAATTGTGCCAGAGGTTCTAGCTAGAGCAATTGAAAAGAAAGAAATGTAAATATTGGAAGAGAAGAGAAAACATAGACATCATATTTATATTTGATGTGATTACCTGCCTAGAAAATCTCGGTGAAGCAGCATTAAACTATTAGTTCAATAAAGTGGCCTGATGGAAGCCCAATGTAAAAAATAAGTGATTAGAAAATGAAATGGAAAGAAATAGCCATAAATCCCCCAGATACTTTTTATTTTTATTCTTTTTTTTTTTTTTTTTTTTTTTTTTTTTTTTTTTTTTTTTTTTTTTTTTTTTTTTTTTTTTTTTTTTTTTTTTTTTTTTTTTTTGNTTTTTTTTTTTTTTTTTTTTTTTTTTTTTTTTTTTTTGAGACAGGGTCTTGCTCTGTCACTTAGGCTGGAGTATAGTGATGTGATCATAGCTCACTGTCACCTCTACTCCTAGGCGCAAGAGATCCTTCCACCTCGGCCTCCTGGGTAGCTGGGACAACAGCTGTGGGCCACATGGCTGGCTAATTTTTAAAATTTTTTTGTAGTGATAGGGACTCACTATGTTATCCAGGCTGGTCTCAAATTCCTAGACTCAAGCAATCCTCCTGCCTTGGCCCCCCAAAGTGCTACAGTTATAGATATGAGCTACCACACAAGCCCCTGCCCCCAGATAGTTTAGAATAGACCTAATGAGTAAAGTATAAGATAATTGTGGAAGAAAGGAATCAAAATTAATAGAATGCTATATATTCATGAAGAAAACAGATGTAGATACAAATAATAACATAAATGAATCTTGAAAACAATGTTGAGCAAAAGCAGGATACCAAAGAATATATATTTTATGATTCCATTAACAACCCCAAAGTTAGATAAACAGTATATAAAAGAAATGTAAATATCTAATATACACCATTTTGCATTTCATCCATGTAACCAAAAACCACTTGAACCCCTAAAGCTATTGAAATTTTAAAAATTAAAGTCATTTTTCCACCTAGTAACACCTTAATATTACATGTATGTAAAAATCAGTTAAAGTTATTCTCTATATACTTGAACTGTATATGTATCTAAATACATAAAATAATGTCTAAAAGGCACTAATGAAAGTATTAACAGTCATTACCTTTGGAGGTGGGAGCAAAATAGACCATAAATTTTTTATCTTGTTTGAATTTTATATACTGAATATATATAGTGTAATTTTTTTTTAAAATTATCATGGGCTTTTGAAATGCTATTCTATCATAATATTAGAAAACTTAAAGTTAACATGCATATCTGAACATACAACTGTTTAGTTGATCATTGGGTAAGGACCCTTTTCCACATTTTCTTTTAATCTAATGTTTCTGTTTGTTTAACAGACAGCATGTCAGACTACAGTGTTTTCTGTTTTTAAAGATAATGTAATTTGGGAGAGAGTTATGGAAGTATGGGCTTTACCTTTTTCTTGTTTTAAATTTCTGTTAATTTGGGATTCTCAAATAAGTGCCTCAAAATCTTTATTTAATTTGTAGTTTTACTTTTTGTCCAGGCCCATCAAACTCCAGAGAAGAGAGTGAATACTGGAGAAGAAAGGAGGAAAATGTCTGAGGTATACAGGCATCTGTCTGGTTATTTTAAAGCTTTGCAAAAATAATTTCTAAAAAGAAACAAAATCTTACTATAAAGCCTCCAAACCTCTCCTTATTTCTTTCAAATACTTGTAACTTCTTTTTTTAAAAAACCTCACTGAACATACCTCTGTCATTGGTGTACTAACTTTCCTAATGAAACTAGAAAAAGTAGGAATTACTATTGATAAAAATGTTCTTTTTTTATTTAAGGAAGCAGCAAGAAAGAGAAGGCTGGATTGTATTGAAAAAGAAAAGAAACAAAAAGATCAGGTAGTTTTTTGCTCTTGTTTTTCTACCTTTGGCAAGTTGTAAGCGATAATAGGTCCAAGAGTTGTAAGAAGTTTGTCTTTAAAATTGTTACAGATTATTAGTTTAATGAAGGCTGAACAAATGAAAAGGCAAGAAAAGGAAAAGGTAAGAGGCTAATCTATTAAATACAATTTTTTCTTAAAGAATGTACTGATTTTTAGTTTATTGCTAAATGTATTACATGTATTTTTTATTAAGTACTTGAAATGGTGTTTTGTATATTTCTTTTCCCCAAAGTTGGAGAGAATAAATAGGGCCAGGGAACAAGGATGGAGAAATGTACTAAGTGCTGGTGGAAGTGGTGAAGTCAAGGTAGGCATTTTATACCAATATGGTTATTCTACTGTTTTTCTCTCCAGTTTCACCTTGTGCTTTAAAATGCGTGTACCTGGGATTTTCTTTCTTACCATAGTGTACAGTTAATTTTTACCTAGAATTCTTCAGCATTTATTATGAGTTCTTAGCTTTCCTGCATGTATCTGATATGTAACTTTATCAATAGTATTGATAACTAACTTATCAATAGTATTGATAACTGTTATGTGACTACACTTAAAATTGCTTTAAAAGTTTTTTTGTGAAGACTGTGATGATATTCCAGTCAGGAATTTTTAAAAATTATACACAATTTGTGATGCTGCATCCTAAAATCCTTCCTTAATTTCGTGTAGCCTTAAAGGTGAAGTTCTCAGAAGACATTTCTTAATCTGATCCCTGCTGTCTCTCCAGCTTCATCTCCATCCATTCCCTGCCACACACTTAATGCTCTGTTCATGCTGAAATGAAGATCATGTTTGTAGTTTCATTACAGTGTGTAGTCTGCTGAATCTCTTTGTCTTTGCACTTGTGTTTCCCTTTACTTAATGGCACTCCTCCATCCCTCCTCACCCTTACCCCCCACCTCCATCCATTTACCTAAATAACCACTTACCTAGATAAGTTAATCCAAACATTCCCTCTGGGTAGAGCCACATTATATAACCTTGGGCACATTACTTAACTTTCCTGAACTTTGGCTTCTTGATTTAAAAAAAAAAGTTTTTTCTGAGAATAGTGCCTGGAACTTGTCTGGCAAGGGCTTCTATAGTAATTTCCCTTTCCTTTCTTTGTTCTGCCAGTCTGAATCTTTTACTTCCTCTTTTGCTCATACAGCATCCTACACATATCTCCATCTCTAGTAGTTAGAATTCTAAGATGGTCTCCAAGATCCTTGACCCCCAGTATACACACCCTGTAGTATTCCGTTCCCTTGAGTGTTAGTGGTACCTGTAAATATTGTGGTGTAGCAGCTCACTTGATTAGGTTGTGTTATATGGCAAGTGGTGATGGATGGTCCCTCCCAGGATTACATTAACAGACAACACTCCTTCATAGCAGGCTAGAAGGGGAAAAGAAATTAGAGAGATATAATTCTGCTCGCCTGGAAGATAGTAAACATTCTCATGGCAAAATAGTAGAGATGACCTCTACAAGTGGTGGTCTCTGATGGGCAACTAGCAAGAAAATTGTAGTCCTAGTCATATAGCTGCAAAGAAATTAATTCTGCCAAGAACCAGTTAACTTGGAAGAGATCCCAAGTCTCAGTTGAGGATTGTGGCCCTGGCTGACACCTTGGTTTCTGCCTGGTAAGATCCTGAGGAGGGGACTCAGCCAAATGCACCCAGACTCCTGAGCCAGGGGAACTGAGATTCTAAATAGGTATTGTTTTAAGCTGTTAGATTTGTGATAATTGATTATACAGCAATAGAAGATGAATGAATAATTTGTGTCACTGAATAAACTAAGTTAATACATCTTTATAAGTTTCAACCATCTATACCCATTAATCCTGATATTTAGATGTACAATAGATACTTGACAAATTGGATCGATTACAGTGCTTGTTTTTTCCCCGAAAGTTATAATTTGAATAGAAGTTTGCCTTGTTTTATCTGGACATACACATTCTATCCTGGATTTATAGATTTATTTTTTAGTCTCTTGAGACGCAGAAGTTTTTCACATCAAATTAATAATTCATTAGAGTAACATTTTCCGAATTTGTGTTAATATAGATTATACAGTGTTTTTAGTAACATAATTTTAACTAACTGCCTCCTGAATGGTCAGGAATGACTCAGAATGTGGTCCATCCTAAAATAACTAACCTCATATCTTATCTGATTGGAAAAAGCAAGCTTACCACATTGTACGCCTTCAAGCATTTTTTTAATCAAGTCCATGATTAGCATTGAAGTTTTGATGATTTTTTTTCTTCTCCCATTGTACATACCTTTTGTGTAATAAAATGCTTTTTCCTGTGATGTCTAATATAGCATTAGTCAGTTTTATTAATGTTGTTTGATAACTGAGACAATTTTCAATAGTTAGATAATGTGTGCTGAATAGATTTGTGTCACTTTATAAACTTCTGTAATGCTTTCATTGAGGATTAATAAAACAATTTATTTTCCATGATTTAAAGGAAATTCTTGGTTTCTATATTCCTCATTGAGTTTGAAATATTTTAACTTGTTAGGCTGTTTGATTTCTACATAGTTGATAAGGACCTGGAGGCTCAATATTACAAGAATAAAATTAAGGAGATCACCAAAATAAAGACAAAGCAAAACTAAAACTAAAGGAAGTATTTTAAAACTAATACTATTATTACATACTTCTAAATAAGAGTCATTATTATTCACAGTATAAATATCCAATATAAATGTTTTTGATTATTTAGTATCTGCAAAATCTGGAACTTCTTTGTTTTATCTACTTTTAATGTGTCTTTTATGAATGTGTTTTAAGAAAAATGATGTAGTCCACATTTATGGTGATCATAATATGGAGGAAGTGTATCTTTTGTTTGAAAAGCTATTGGAATACCATTCGGCAGTAAAAGAATCACCTGTTTATACATGCAGCAGCATGGATCAGTCTTAAAAACTTATGAGTAAAAGAGACCAGATAAAAGAGTACATATTTATTATTTCATTTATATGATATTATAGGAGAGGCGAATCCAACCTGTAGTGACAGAAAGCAGATTAGTGGTTGCTGGCAGTGGGATCATTTACTGCAAAGGAATACAGGGAACTTTCTGGGGTAATGGATATGCTTTTGCTTGTGGTAGTGGTTACATGAGTGCATACATTTGTCAGAATTCATTAACCCTTGCTTATAATTGGTGAATTTTTATCGTATATAAATTATGTCTCAAACATATTGCATCAGCATTCTAGTATAGTATTTTTGACATTAATTTGAGTATGAGCATCTTCTGAGATGTTTACATGCCTTTGTTTTTGCTAAAAAGAAATGGAACACTCAGTCAAATTAAGGTGATCCTAGCATTGGACTAAACTCAAAAATTAACCAGTTTTGCAGGAAATCTGACCACTTTATAACAGAATTCTGATTCTTGACTTCATATGTACATTTTGAGGATGTATGTAAGGACCACCTTGATGGAGTTTTCTGTTCTAGCAGTTTTCATCACTTGTTATTTGAACATCTTTAATCAATTATATTTATCATGTACTGATTCCTTTTTAATCATGCTTGCTTATAAAATAGTGTGCAGCTTATAAAATATTAAAACAACTTTTACTGGGTTACACTGAAGTTTCTTTTATTGGATTCTGATATTTTTCTTTGTTTCTTTTATTATTATTTTGAGACAGGATCTCACTCTGTCACCCATTGGTGGAATCACAGCTCTCTGTAGTCTTGACCTCCTGAGCTCAGATGATCTTCCCATCTCAGCCTCCTGAGTAGCTGGGACTACAGACACATGCCACTGTGCCCAGCTAATTTTTTGTATTTGTTGGGATGGAGTTTTGCCAAGTCGCCCAGGCTAGTCTTGAACTCCTGAGCTCAAGCAGTCCACCCACCTTGGCCTTCCAGAGTGCTGAGATTACAGGCATGTGCCACCCGCGCCTGGCCTTTGTTTCTTTTTTTAACCAGACATTTTCCTTAAGATGTTAGCACCTGGAAGTTTCCCATTTTTCACTCTCAGTATTGTGGCTTCTGTTCTCATCACTTCACACTCTCACAAAATGGTTTTTTAAAGGCATCCATCCACTCAGCCTTAGTCATATCTGGTGGTCTTATTCTCAGATAAAGTTCAAATAAGCTGACCTTTGCATTTGAAGTTACTGATTTCCTTTTCTCAATGAAATTCTTCCACCGTGACTTCCGTAGCATTATACAGTTTTTATTTAATTTTACTCTTATCCTTTTCTGGCATCTCTATTTTTTTTTGCTGTGAGTTTTCCATGTGGATGAGTTCTTATGTCTCTGTGGTTGAGTCTTTAAGTCTTTGCCTTTATTCTTTGTCGTTCCTACAGAGAGTCCAGACTTCCTTCAGCATGTAGTTTTCATTGACTGGCTTTCTTTACTTCTAGGCTTCTTGGCTTGGTGTCAGGGCAGCAACATCCTTCTAATTAATTCCTCTGCCTTACTTTCTTATTTCTGCTTACCATGCATAATATTGACTTATTGACCTTTCAAACTCTTTCGATATGCTACTGCTGCTAGAAACTTTTTAAATGCTTTCTATTGTTCTTTATTATTTGAACACAAACACCCAAGGCTGATAGCATTTACCTATACCAAGCGTTTATAGCCAAACTTGATACTCCTTATTTCCCTTCCTTCTGTTTGTAATCATACTTCTTTTCTCCTCCACCTTCCATACCTAAGTATATACTTATTTGGCTTATTTTTACTTTAATGCCTTGGCTCATATTTACTCTCCTTACATTGCTATTGAGACCAGATTAAATAGTATCTTTCTGCAAGGCCTTTTTTCTAAATAAAGATTTTACTGTTGATTTTTTTTTTTTTTTTTTTTTTTTTTTTTTTTTTTTTTTTTTTTTTTTT